CCAAGTTCTAGACGTCACCGGTGTCCTCTCCCTGCCCCTCCCGCCGCTGACGTAAGCCCTCAACTCCCTGCTGATCTGGGATCCATCACCCCGGAGCCACTGTTATGTGTGTGGGGCTGTGTTATCATTTCCACCACAAATTAACAGTTTCTATGTAAATATTGATATTTCCTCACCCCACAGAGGCCAGGGGAGGCAAAATGGTACCGGCGCGTTTGATTTAAACTAATTAAAAGCAGAGGGCTGTGCAACTCAATATATTGATTTTACCAGTGGGACTTAAATCTTTTATAATAAGTGTACACAGCTGCGGTGCTCTCCCACCACCGTGCTTGAGGGCTAATCCTCACATTCCTCTGACAGGAACATGACAGACAGGTCCCACACATCCCTGCCTGTGCCTAACCCCGGCGACACTGCCAGAGCCATTAAGGCGAAGCTCTGCAGTGCCACACCAAACAGCCAGTGTGCCGACAGCCCCGGCCGATGGCAGTGGCCGGAGAGGACAACGGCCCCGGACAGCAGCTCGGAGCAAGGGCCCCCCGCTCTGTCCCACGCAACACAGGCTGCAGAGAGGCAGAGGCAGGGCAGCGCTGGAACACTCTGACTCCTGCTCTGGGCCAACTATGACCTTACCGCACAACAGAGGGCGAGATATTAAAGCGATACGGGTGATCAATCAACGGCACGGCACGGGGCTCTCCCTGCAGTGAAGTCATCCCTGGTGTCCCAGCGCCGTGGCCACGTGACGCGCGCTCACGTCGCATCCACCAGCTGTGTTTAACTGGGCAGAGACCCGAATCCCAGCCTGTGTGAGCTACATCTCAGAAGCGCTTTCTTCTCTCCGTGCACCCCCGCCAAAAAATCACCACCGTTTGCTGCCCCAACACCGACTTTTATCTGGGCGACCCCCCTTACTCCTTCCACGTCACAACCAAGTGACAACCCTGGAATAAAAGCCAAAAATAGCCACGCAGGCTGGCGTCCAGGGCTCGGCCTTACCCTTCCCTGATTCCAGAAGGGAAATAAACCACATAGATGATCCCTAAAGTTCAAATCTGGGTCACATATATCTTTGGGAAAAGGGGAGGGGGCGCTCTTTGATTTATAGAAGCAGAAAAACGAGGTTTAAAAGAAGTGATCTTGAAAGGGTTACTAAAAACACAGCTGTTGGTACACCCCTATCGTGAAGGCGCTGTGCAGAGAAAGAACGAACGAAAGTTAGGAAGCAGGGAAGCCTGTGTGACATCTATATTAACCTCTGGCTGCTTACCAGTGCGAGCCGCTCGGCTCGGTGCTGGAATGTGGAGCAGCCCCTTCCAAATTCTAACACAAGCCAGGTTACAGCTGCAGATGCCGCAGTCATGCTCCGCAGAACACTCCCTGAAGGACATTTTTAAACTGTAACAGAATCTTTTTCTAATACTCGACAGTGGTAGGGCCTGTTCTGAGGGGGCAAGAGGAGAGATCTTAATGCCAAACACTTGTCAACAAAAAGGGTAGCCAGATGGTAAAAGGCAAGAAAAAAAAAAAAAGAAAAAATCAAACTGCACAGCCTCTCCCACTCTCCGGGTGCATTAACAAAAGCCACTTTTATACACTGATTCCAGTAACGATGGGTTTCCAACTTTCTCTTTTTCAAAAAAATCTTCGCTTCAAAGATTAAACAAATTTCATCCCTTCATGACCTGGCCCAGCGATACACCCAAGTTGCACGCCTCACGCCAGCCGGCTTCATTAGAAGATTCCCAAGGTAGCCGCTGGGCTGTCCCAGGGGAAAGAGCGGCAAGATTCAGTCCGTAGGAGCCCCTTTGCCTGGGGACCACTTAAAAGCGGGTAGCCTGTTTTGAATTCCAAAATTAAGTCTACAGTGGAGGAGTCAGGGGCTTGTTAATCCAAACCAGTTTATAAATCTTGCCGTTGAGCCTAAAGGGGCCCAGGCTGGGAAGATGTGAGGCCCAGTCAGGTGGCTCAGCCGGCCTCATGTGAGGCTCTACAGTGCAGGTTGGTCTTTGTCAGGAGGTGCAGTGTGTCATCCGCACTCCCAGCACCTGGTTTTGTTGTAAAATCCCCTCTAGTTTTTAGATCCTGCTCACCCTGGCAAAAAGCTTGAATTCCAAGGAGAAGGACTTAGAAGAACAGAAACCAGTTTGGCTGCAGACTGAAGAAAGAATCAAAGCACCAGGTCTGCAAAAGCCTTCAGAATGCAGGCAAGGTTCCCACAGGGACGCAGAGGGGGAGGGGCAGCACAGGAAGACAGCCTCCCGGAGATCCTCATGGAAGACCCCCGGGTCCCCAGGAACAGCTTACCATGAGACAGTGCAATGTTCTCACTCTTACACATACACAGTGAGAATAAACTTGGCTTTGGAACACTTTGTATATTTCAGATCAACGCATTTGCAGTCTGGGGGAAAGCGGTGCTTTCTCAGCAAGCTCTGCCTCAGGACAAATCTCCCATCCCACTCTCTCCAACCCGAATGCCACCCCTGAGTCCCTGTTATGGAGAAATTCAGAGCCACTCACAGTAGAAGGGACAGGCAGATAATTCCTGTGAGGCTGCAGAGCAGAAATTAAAGGCCACCCTCAGAAGCACCTAGGGGAAGCCTCTTGCCAAACTGCAGTCCAGGTCTGCCCCTAACTAATTACCTCAAGTTTAGGGACAGAAAGAAAAAGAAAACAAGGTCAGTGCACTCTGTCAAAAGCCACTCTGCCATCTAATTTGGAGTGATGTCCCAGAAAGCTAGACTTGAGAAAGTCAGGACAGTCCCACAAAGCCCAAAGTCAGCCTGGCTAAGAGGCTCAGACAAGCCCGTCTTTGTCCTTTCAAGATGAAAGAAATGGATTGAAAGGTGTGCACAGCCAGAGAAGGAAAGGCGTCCAGCTGTGGCCTTCCCCAGCAAGCCCGAGCTTGCTCCCAAGGCCATGGGGGAGCAATCAGCCCTGCCCTAAGTTCCCAGAAGCACACAGTTTAGCCCCCGTGTCTCTCTCTGGGAGACAGGAGCCCTGGTCTGGCCACACTGCCAGTCTAGAAGCATCAAGGTATTCCTCGCCCTGGGTCTGCCAAGAGCCCAGAAGCCAGGGTTCACAGATACCTCTTTAAGGACCCCACAGACTCTGAATGCATTCACTGGAACCCACTGGTGTGTGTTCAGTCAAGGGAAGGAACAGAACTGGAGATGCCACAGATCCCCCACCCTGGCCAACTCCCACCTCAGCAGGGCCACAGAGTTCAGTGTTCATCAATGTGGTGATAGGTATGCATTTAGGACTTTTCTTTAGTTTTTGCTATAGGTAATAAAAAGCACTTAAAAATATCACACAGCAAGGCATGGTGGCTCAGCGTGCCTATAACTCCTGCACTCACAGAGGCTAAGGCAAAAGGGTCACGGGTTCAAGCCCACCCTGGGAACTTAGCAAGGTAAGAAGACTCTTTCTCAAAACAAAAAGATTCTGGGGGACTGGGTATTGAGCTCAGTGCTACCGCCTGCCTCGAAAACACAAGGACCCAAGTTCGAGCCCTAGTACCAAAAAAAAAAAAAAAAAAAAAAAAAAAAAGAAGAGAGAGAGAGAGAAAGTCAGGGGATGCAGCTCTGGGTTCAGCTCCAAGTGTGAAAAAAAATTCACACAAGGCAGTGAAAAAAATTAGATTCTCCTTTCCCCAATCCCCCCACCCCACAAAAATCTCTCTCCAGGCCAGTCTTATTCCAGTGGAACACAGGTAATACACAAACTCGTGCGTCACAGTGCCGTCTACATTTTGCTTTTCTCCCACCCCATACACCTTGGAAAATTGTCCCAAAGCAGGACATGTGGAACTGCTTCACCCACACAATGGCTTAGTAGAATTTAAACTTGGAGCTATTTGGACACCTGGCCCTCCCACCCCACAGAAATGGCCTCCCAGGAACTAAGGACCTTATCTGGGGTGGAAAGCGTTAAGGCAGATCCCAGCTGCCCTGGGCCTCCCCTCCACGCCCCGGGTGCCCAGCGCAGGTCTGGGGCATCATTATTTCCACGTTGACACAGCGTCCGTGGGTGTGTCTGCTGCTTCCACTTGGTTCGGGTTTTCGCAGCAAGTTAGTTACACAAGAAGAATGAAAGCGGCCCAGAAAACAGAGCAATCGGGCGTGTTATCTCGAAAACCAAATATTTGATCATGAGCCCCACAGCGGCCGCCCGCCGGGGGTGAGTCTGAGCAAGTCTGGCGAATTCGCACGCCAGATGAAGGGGGAGCTACCAGGACCGCCGCAGTCCAGCCTCGCGCCCCTGGCCCGGCTCCCGGGTCCCAAAACCGCCCCCGGCAGCGTCTGCTCCGAGGTCCCGCGCCACCCAATCGCGAAACCCCGTGGTTTGCGCGCCACATGTGATAAACGCTGAAAATGGATGCTGCCCGCCCGGGACCTATCATTAAATATTTAAAATAGAAAGTTCTCGATGGCAATGTTTCTTCCCCGGCTCCAAGCGAGGGCCGAGAGGTGGACGCGGGTGGCGGGAGGGTCCGGGGCGCATGGGCCGCGCACCCATCTAGGCAGGGGCGCTGCGAGGGACAGGTGGGGCTAGCCGGGGCTGGGAAGGGGGTGCCGCGGCTGCGATGCCTGGGCCTGGAAGCACCGGGAGCCACCGAGCAAAGGCGGGAAGGCGGCTTCCCTGAAAAGGGCCCTTTAAACCCAGGTATCCGTCGCGCCGGCAGGGACAGCTCACATGACCCAGCCCGGCGCTTTGAACTGAGCCGCAGCGGGAGGCGAAGCTCCGGACGAGTTCCCCTTCCCGGGACCCCCGCAGGCCGGCTGCGCCCTGCCTGCCCGCCCTACCTGGGTCGCTCACGGCTCGGAGTCCGCGGGGACACGGGCGGGAGACCCTCGGGCAGGCGCTGGGGATCTTGCAAACGGCCAGGAATACACGATGGGCGGGCTGGGTGTAAAGGCGACTCCGTCCCGGTCCCGAAGCGCCCCCCGACAGAAGCGCGCGGCCCCACCCACACCCCCAACCGGGCTCACCGAGGTTGACAAAGCTCATGACCATGTCGGCGTCGGTGAGGAAGTGGCTGTCTTGCAGGCTGGCCAGCGGGGGGCCCTGGGTGCTGAAGACGGCCTTGTACGGGTAGGAGAAGCCCTGGCCGTCGGGCCCTCCGCCCTCTTCCACCGCCATGGCATTGTACAGGTCCAGCATGAACATGGGCGCGGAGTTGTGTTTGCCCTGGAGGTGGGGTCGCGGGCGATGGGGCAAGCCCAAGATGGAGAGGATCTCCCGCTGCATCTCCCGCCGCTCTTGGCTGCGGAGGCGCCGGTGGATGAAACTCGAGTGCACCTCGTTGTCCAGGCTGAAGTCGCCCAGAGCTGCGCGCAGCAGGAACAGAGGCGCCCAGAGCGCTACGAAGCTGTGCGGCGCCGCGGCTCGCAGCGAGCGCAC